TTGCTTTAGTCCAATACCTTTTTATACTCCTATTCTTCCCAATCATAATGGGAATTTTATTCTGTGCCATTTCATGTTAGAAATATTTAGTTTTCTTTTTTTATTTTTACAAGGGTTCACAACTAAGAGTTTGCCTTTAGTCTCAAAGGATACTTGGACTTGGATTTTTCAGGAATAATGATACTGTTCAACTCTTAAGAGATGAATTAAATACATTTTACCAAATGAAATGGACATGAACTTTTTAGGGACCGGGGCAAACATGTTATAGTTTAGATCTAAATATTTCCCATCTGCCACCTCTCCTTCCACATTCTTGCCACTGAGGTCCTGTGCCTACAGTGAGGTGCCTGCCACCAGGACACTCTGGACCCTGATAGAGAGTATATCCCACAGGCCCAAACTGTGATGCACATTATGCTTCACATGAGTTGGTGGCATCTTGGAGGTGACACTGATATTTTGGTGGCCTTATTAACAACATGATGTATCCAAGATGAGAAGAAACATTGCTGACCATTTTGACCAGCTCCCAGTGGGCAGCTCTGAGATGACCCCTACCCAAGAGGCTGTCTACAACTGCAGGACCAAGCTGGGTGGCAGTCCAAGGCAATTACCCAAGTAGCTGCAGTTGAGAGCGTGGACATCAGTGCCCAGGTGCCTGCAATTGAGCTATGAGACACAAGTACCCAAGTGAAGTTATATATCTCCTAAGTGTCTGAGGTTGAGCACCGTGAAAATCAGACTGTCCAAACCAGTTCCTGGATAGTCTTTCTTCCGGGAGTGAAAGCTAGGCAGGCGATTCAGAGGGAAATCTGTGAAAAATCATCTTTCTGGTATCATTCTGACCTAGAAACTGGGAGAAGAATGTATAGGTTGTTTTTTTGTTTGTTTTGTTTTGTTTTTTGTACTGGGGTCGAACTTGTGTCCTTGCACTTGCAAGGCAGGCAGCAGCAGCACTGAGCTAAATCCTCAGCTCTGGGTCGTCATGTAAAGTTTGCAAATAAAAATTTATAAAGAAAATAAAAATAAAAGTAAAATATCCCCCAAAGTCTTACAATTTAGAAGGTAGATACTCATCCATGGATTCATGCACTGATGAGTTCATAGCTGAATGTTCTGCAGAGAAAGCATCACTTGGAGTAATGACCTGAAAGGGGTACAGTCTCTGCTTCCTGCCCTCACTTTCTGCTTCCTGGCTGCATGATGTAAGCAGTACTCCTCCACTACACACTTCTGCCATGCCACTTCTGACTTTGAGTCAGCTAACCATGGACTGAATCTCCCCAAACCATAAGCTAAATAAAACTTCTCCTCTTTTAAATAGTAGATGTCAGGTATTTTGGGAAAGCTAATGTGTGTGCACTCTGTACTAGATGAAACGGAAGCTGAAAAATAAATATTTAACTTTTCTAGCATGAGTAGTGGAAGACATGCAAAATTTTTAAAGGAATAAATGTCCTATAAGACCACTAATGGAGTCTACAAGACACTTGATCTATATGAGTGCTAGCTACATGGTGTATTGGGCAGAGAAGGAGAGAGAAGCAGAGGTTAAACTAATAGTGCATACCTACTATGTGCCAGCAGTGAGCCTGATGATTCCATACAGTTTATCATATTTACAATAGCCCTTTGAGGTTAGATTAGTTTTCCCATTTTTCAGAGAAAAAAAAAAATTAAGGTTCAGTAAAGTTTTAAATCGATACTACTACAGAGTTAACAAATGACAACTGGAGTAAAACTCAAATCCAGACTCCATGCTCTTTCTAGTATTCTAGAGTGAATTACTGTCAGGTCTGTTACTTCATCTGTATTCGACTTTTTTCCCTCAGCAGCCACTCTTCTTCAAAAACTATTTTAATAGTGTTAACCACTTCACCACACCAAAATCATAAATGACTCCAGGACTGTGGCTATGGGGCTTGCTGTAACATTCCGTTCCATCACAAACAAGTCATGAGAAACAGCCTGGTTAACATATTGCAAAATGGAGTTCAAAGAGGAATGCAATCCAAGCCTGTGAACTTGTTCTTGCCACGGGATTTCTGAGCTTCTTATGGCACACATGATACTTTTCATCAAGAATCCTGAGTTAAATTGTGTTTATTGGTGACAAGTGCTAACAGTAATGTAGCTCAAGTATTTACAGTGACATTAGGAATTAAATCAGCTTTAGATTTCCAGATTTGCCTTTATAAACATAAATTTTCAAGTATGTTGCTGGGAGATCTTTACAGAGAAAATATTCCACTAGTGAAGGCTGGCTTATTATTATAGACAGGCAGATCTTTTGTGCAAGAAAAATTTAGATAAGAAGAAAAATACAAGTCAATAGACAGTTCCAGAACAAACACAACTCATTTCGATTATTTGATTATATCATCAACCTCATTGTCATCCTCATCCTCTAGAGCAAATCAAGTCTTTCCTGCCCCTGTCAGATGTAATTTAAATTCATCATGGTCTATGTGTGTTTTATGGAAATAATAAAGAAAAACTTTTAGCCTATCCAACAAACTATATTAGGCAGGGCAAAATAAATTTTAGAAATTTTGTTTTGTTCTGAGCAAATGTAATGATTGTTATAACCCAAGACAACCAATACCAAAAAATACCAAAGGATCTCAAATTCTTAAAACCCATTAAATGACTTACAGTTAAAGAATGTTCTGTATAAGGGAGACACAAAGTAGGATTTCATAATTGCCTTTGCTTTAATGATGGGAATTAGTGAGCTTATGCATGGAAATATCCACTGAGCCAACTACTTATGGCTCCAGAGGAACAGGAGTACACTGCTAAAGCAGGCATGAGGAATCCAGCCCCCGTGTTAACGTTGGCAGGAAATCGGAATGACTATAGACTAGAAAATCCAAGTGACTACCAAAGCTTAAAAGTATTAGAAGCTTTTTTGTTTCAGTGTTTTTGTCTTCATTTTGTTTTGTGATACTGAAGATTGAACCCAGGGGTACTCTACCACTAAGCTACATCCCCAACCCTTTTGATTTTTTATTTTGGGCAGGGTCTTGCTCAGATTCCCAGACTGGCCTCAAACTTGTGATCTTTCTGTTTTAGCTTCCCAGGCAGGTGGGATTGCAGGAGTGTACCAGTGTATCTGACTAAACAGACCATTTTTAAACACACTGTGTGAAAAGCTTTAGGGCTTTTGAAAAACAAGGAACGGGAAAAAGTTCCTATCCATAAGAATCTTAAGAAAACCACAAAACAAACAAGCTATGCTGAAAGAAGGATTTAGGTAAAATAAGTTTTCTCTGTGAATTTGGATTCGTACAATTCCAAAGCAATAATCATGATGGCAGTCTTACTATACAAGGGGTCCTACAAAAACATGAAAAGGAACAAATGAGTGATATCCTTTTCCTCTGGAAATAAATTCCAGTTTATGAGTTTACATTCCTCATTCCTACAGGTCTAAGAAAGCTAGATTCCTTCACTTTCTTTTTATTTGGCTTTTGATTCGAGGGAAAGTCTACATGGTACAGCTCTCGGTGGGGGCCCCTCATCGGCCAGAATACAGCATTTACAGCCTTCCTAACCTGATGGTGGGAAGACGATACCTGAAGGAAGGGATTCAGATTTACTTGAGGGCTGCTGACAGATATGGCACAGAGTTTCAAATAATTAAAGAAAAAAAGTATTTAGGAATTTATAAACAAGCTTTTTAACCATGCTGTTAGAAAACAGACAGTACTCCTTGGGGATCTCCCACCCCTGCAGTTTTCTTCCTGTCCTCTCCACTTTCTATTGCCTCTGTGTTTAAAAACTGCCTTGTTATTAGTTTTTAATGAAACCAGTGTGTTTATCATATTGAATGGCAGACGCGGTTGTTTGCTCCCCGAGGTTATGTTACTTTTTCCTCAGACAGATTCAGCTGGCAGCCTGTGCAGATTCCTTTGCACAATAATGACACCAGAACTCCAAAGCTCTAGTGGCAAGAAGCAAATTCTACACCTCAGCAATCACGCCAGCGAGATAAAGAACTGCCAATCGATTTCTCTTTTCCCTTAGGGACAACAAAAAGCAGAATAGAAGGAAAAGCTCTGTAAAAGCCTTGACAGCAAAGCATACTCACTTATCATAACACAGCAGGGGGCTTTAGAGCTTTCTAAGATTCTAAATGCTTGGTTGAAAGAACAACTGTCCCCTGTCCTCTCCAACCTGTCACTGATTGGATTAGCAGACCTAACAGGAATGGAAAGACACAAAATAAATAATCATTAATAAAAAAAATACATGTTGAAAAATGTCCATTAAAATAGTCTAACGTTTTTCTTATATCTGCCAAACTGTTAGCATATGAAGTTAGAGTTTCACTAAATTGTCTAGATGTTATTTAAGAAAAAAGGGAAATGATTGTAATATGCTTTCTAATGTCTCCTTCATCACAGATGCAGACATGTTCAGCTCTCTCCTGTTGTATCAAGATGTCCCTGGGTCCCTGCTACCTGAGCATTTCTTCCCATGCCTTCACTGCCAATCTTCCAAAAGATTTTGTACTTTTTCATTTTTTTCTCTACTCCTTTGGGATAATAATCTTTCTTCCACTTTTAACTTATTTAGCCATTTCCCACAGACTACTGGATTCCTGTCAACTGATCGCCCCAAACTTTTTAAAATATTTGTTATTCTTGTTCCATTCCTCCTTGTTCATAGGCTTCTAAGACATCATACTCATGTGGAAATTCTGCTAAACTTAATCACACTGCGTCTCACCAAATGCCACCGTTATCCAGAAGGATCTCAAGAGTTTAGGCTTCTTTCAGACTGCCTCATCTACTCCTGAGGCTAGAAATACCCTCCTCGTATACGGCAGTCACAAATGACATTTTTAAATTGTAAAATTATGCTACGACACTTATCATTTGGAAATATAGGAATAAGAACCTGGCCAGAGTCAGCAGACATCAATTTGAGTAGTCGTTCTCCAAGAGTTACACTGGTTCCGTTTATCACCGCAGGTGACTAATGGTGCACACCTATCTTTGTGTCCCCTTCAGTGAGTTTGGTGGTGGGTTTTGTGTGCTTCGTGGCCCATTACACAGAAAGCAGCAGACAACTGAAGCCTGAAAGAGTACCAGCCGCTGTCAGTCCAGAGTGGAAATGTAATGCGGAAATATGGAAGCATTCTTGAGGGGTTTTGTTTTTGTTTTACTTCTATTCATTAAGACTGGAATCAAGCTTACCTGTAAATTCTTGGTAATTTAAGTTTCCATTTGTGCCATTCAGTGTAAAACTGTCTAATCTGCAAAAAAATGTAAATTATGAAAATTAAAGATTTAGCCACTGTTCAAATAAATGAATAAATAAATACCCACCTCGTGTACATATCTCTTAAATTGTTCCCCTTGCCTAAGCAGCTGACCCAATGGTCAATGGTTCACTTAAAATAATGTCTGTACAAACACAGCACTTCAAGAAAAACCCTTAGTCTCCAAACCTGTTCCTTCTTCTGACATACTTCTGGTTAGTTTTCCCTCAGACCTAATTAGAACACTAGTGTTATCTTTGACTGATGCTTTTTTTGAACCCCTACCAGCCAATCGATTGCTTCTGCATTTGTAATTTAATGCAAGTCACACCGTTCACTGCTATGCTCAAGATCAAGTCCCCACCACCTCTATCCTATTCTAACAAACTTTAGCCTTTATGCCACAAATTTTTACAGATCCTTCATAATTAAGATATTGCCAGAGGTAGCAATTTAAGATTGTACATAAGCTTAAAAACATTCAGAGTAAAATTATTTTAGCAACCTAGAAGGGCTCGTCACAGAGAAGAGACCACCAAAAAGCAAAACGAGAAAGACAAGTAGTCTTTTTGTAGATTGTAAAATCTAATAGTGATTGTACTGCCATCTTCTGGATGACAGCATTAGAAGCAATTACTGTATTCCCTTAGGGGGACAGGTTTGGTTTCAATTTTCAAAACTCCTAGACCTTTTCATGCTGAATGTAATGACAAACATTGGAGTTTTGTGCATGAATTGACTTTGATTTAAAAATACACAACATTACAATTAAAAACTGTTAATTGATTTTAGCTTTAATAGACTGTGCTCCACCCATTAGTACTGAGGATTTCTGAGAACCCAAGAATGAAACGACTGGTGTTACTGAGAAGTAAAGAGTCTTGTCTATTTTTAGATGACTTGCAGAAAGTCACATCTCCCAACATCAATAATTCAAATATTTCCATCTTCTAAAACTCGGAATTAACATTATCTTTCCAATGAAGGCTTCCCAAGTCTCACCCTTTCTGGAATTACAGAACTTGTTATTTGCTTATACTCTTCATCAGGGAGACTAATATTGCATTACAGCCCCAGGTAACATTGTGCATCTGCTTCTCAATCTATAGTAGTGATTAAGAAAGCCTCCATTTCATTATTTCAATAATTTTACAAAAAATCATTTAATCATATGAGGTTTGAATTTTTTTTTTTTTTTTTTTTTTGAGACAGGGTTTTTCTATGCAGTTGAGGGGCCCTTGAACTCACAGTATAGCCCCAACTGGCCTCACACTCTTGGTTCATCCTCCTGCCTCAGCCTCTGAGTGCCGGGATTACAGGCTTGCCACTATGGCCAGCTGAGGTTTTAATTCTAGACTCTACTCTGTTCCATTGATGTATAAGTCTTTTCTTAGATTAAATTATTGCAGTTTTAAGGGAGGGGAGAAGAAAGGAAGGGAGGGACAAGAAAAAGGTGAAAATAGAAGGAAAAATGGAAACAAAGCTTTTGTACACGGGGGAAGGGGGTCAAAGACAGGAATGAAAGAAGAGAGGTGGGCGGTACAAAATCACGTGTGTTATCACTATGCGCGTCTAAAATGTACCGATAAGTGTTTTGCTATTAAAAAATTGTAGTTGGATAGTCATAGTATTAGGCACTAATAGTATTAGACACTCACCAACTTTGCTTTAGTTCTCAAAATTTCATGTCCATGTAAATTTGAGATATGACATCAATTTCTGTCCCCAAAAATCTAACAGGTACTGACTGAAATTGTATTAAAGTTATATATGGCCGGGGATTTGGCTCAGCAGTTCGGTGGCCTGCCTTGCAAGCACAAGGACCTGAGTTCAATCCCTGGTACCAAAAAATAACAATTAAAAAATTAAAAAAATAAAGTTATATATTAATTTGAGGAGAATTGAAAGCCAAAAATACTCTCTCATTCACCAAGTGGTATTCTACATACTCATTTAGGCTTTTCTATAATTTCTCTCAGGAATGTTCTGTAGTTTTTTGTTGTCCATATTTTTTTTGGTTTTGTTGTTTGTTTTTTGGTTTTTTTCTTAACTTTATTCCCAGCCAGTCATCGTGGCCCATGCCTGTAATCTTAACATTTGGGAGCCTAGACAGGAAGACCACTGTAATGATATTTTTTTTTTTTTTTGAGACAGGGTCAGTCTCATTCTATAGTTGAGACTGACCTGGAACTCACTGTGTAACCCAGGCTGGTCTCGAACTCAGTGATCCTCCTGCCTCAGCCAACTGAGTACTGGGTTTACAGGCATGCGCCTCCATGACCAGCCATTCTTCTTCTTTTATGTGTGCTTCTTGTGTGTTTTGTTTTTGTACTGAGACGCAGTCTTGTTATGCATCTCAGGAGAGCTTTGAACTCAAACCTTGTGCATCAGCCTCCCAGTGCTGGATGAAAGGCAGCTACCATTATGAGCAGCTTTTTCTCTTTTATTAATTGACTAATCTAGCTGAAAGTTTCTAAATTTTATTAATAGTTCCAAAAATCACCTTTTAGCTCATTAATTTTCTTTGTTGTTTGTTCATTTTCTATTTTATTCATTTTCCCTTCATAACTGACATATATTTTTACTAAACATAAAATTCAGGATTTAGTTACTTACTTTTAGCACTTTAAAATGTACCACTCACTTTTGATCTCCATAGTTTCTGATGAGAAATCTAAAATCATTTGAATGATTGTTTCTTTATGGGTAATATGCCTTTTTTCCAGGCTATTTTCAAAATTTCTTCTTTGCCTTTAATTTTGATGGTTTCATTATTATGTACATAGGGATGGATCTCTTTGGAATTATTTGGCCTGGGGCTTACTCAGTTTAAGTCTCTAAATTTATGTCTTTTATCATAATGGGGAAATTTTCAGCTATTATTTTTGTAATTTTAGCACATTTTCTTTCTCCTCTCCTTTTATGATTCCAGTAATATGAGTATTATAGCTTTGGTCAAGTACCATAGGTTTCTGAGATTTGGTTCTTCTGCTTTTTTTTTTGTAAATTATTTTCTTTGTTGTTCTGATTGGATGATTCCTACTGATCTAGTTTCAAATCTACTGACTCTATATTCTATATCTATGTCCTTCTTTGAGTGAATTGAGTAAGTTGTTGCTTTCTGAATTTTGCATACTATATTGCACACTTTTAAATTTTCCATCTGGTTCTCCTTTATGCCTTGTATCCATTAGAAGTTACGTAGGAGCAGAAACTGGGTAGAACCTAAGGAGCTGCTGAAGATACACAGACTGGTGAGAGATGTTCTTCGCCCTCTGTGAGGAAGACAGATGAGTGAAGGGAAAAGAGGAGCCCAAGGTCACAGAGACGGAAAGGGCTGGTGGAGAGCACAGCCTGGTGCTGAGTCGTCAGGTCGCCACATCGAGGTACTGAGGGAGGGAGCACAGCTCCTAAATGAGGAGAAGGTCCGCCTTACAATACCCAGGTTAGACTTGCAAAGGAGTTGGACAGGCTACAGAAAGAGAGGACGAAGCACAAAATTGGGACTTCGGGGGAGGGGATCCATGAGAAAAGGGACATTTTTGGCAGAAAGGAAGAAAAAGAGAACGACTTGAACATAAAGTTTGTTCAGAGTCTTTCAACGACTTACAATTTCAAGAAGAAATTGATACAAAGAAGCGGTAAAAAGTAAATACAGGAAGAAAACATAATATACACCATGAAGATACAGCACAACAACATGTGGAAGAGGAAACTCAGAAGAAAGAACTACACAAAAATAACAGGGAGAGAGAAAAAAAGGAAGGTGGGGGAGACCAGGCAAGGTGGTGCACACCTGTAACCCCTGGGAGGCTGTAATTCAGGGAGGCCACAGAAAATAATCCCAAATTTCAGCCCAGTTTAGGCGATTTAGTGACTGGGCAAGACCCTGTCCCCAAATAAAAAATAATTGTAAAAAAATGAGTGGGAATGTGACACTTTGAAAAGGTCCTGGGGGCAACTCCCTGTACCCCCCACCCCCAAGAAATAATAATAATTACAAAAAGAAAAGAAACTGTGGAAAAGCACAGGGTAACTGAGACTTGTAAAGGAACAAGGAAACAACTTGTGAATGAGATCACTCGTGCTAGGTAAGCTCAAGTTCAAGGAAAGTTACAGAGAAAGCAGAATAACTGGGAGGATGCAGTATGGAAAGAAGACGGCATAAATGAAAAGCTAAAAGAATTTTGCATGAGACTGTGGCTCAGCCAGGAAGCCAGTAGGTAAGGGTAAATGCAATGGCTCTACTAACGGTAGGCATGGGAGACAGCGAGGAAAGAATAACTCTAAGAATTTGAAACAGGGTGGGCAGCAAACAAGATTAGCCAGCACAAGACCCAGGAGGTATGAATCACTTCTCAAGTACTATCTGGAAATCCTCACCCTGTAAGGAAAGCATGTTGTGATAAGCTTTTGCCTTTCCTAAACCTCAATATTTTTCAGACTTTTAATACTTCTAGCTACAACATATTTGTATTGTCCCTAAAAATGAATGAGTGCTGTATTCCACATGTCCTCTTCAATTTTATCCCCACCCTTGCAGTTCTATGTTATTACTAGGAGGGGGATTCCATAGAACTTGCAGGTCTAGCTCCTGGGAAATCGTAAAACAGAGACAGAAAATATGTGTTACTATCCCAAGAGACTTGACAAGCCAACAAGGCAGCTGCAATCTGGGTTTAATGGGTGATGAAAGAAGTCACCACATTCTTGGGCTTCTACATTCTCAAAGAAAATTAGTACCGGAAGGAGACAGTGTGACTCAGCAAGCCAGGCCTCTTCGCCACAGCTGCGGACTCTGGCAGTCCCTCCTGGGGCTGCTGCAGTTACAGGCCTGGGTGCCTAGCTGACCCCAAGCAACTGCAGAATCTCTAGATTTTGACCCAGACTCCACCAGATGTGCTAATCTCTTGTCAGGTCTGGAATTTTTTCAGCTCCCTTTTTCAGGGTCTTACAAGGAAAATATCTGGGTGTCCCAATATTGTCTCAGCACTTGGAGCTTTGGTTTGCAGGTGGGATACCCTCCCTGACCCCAGGGTAGAATTTCCCTCCCTCTCCAGTGTCCCAGGCTTGTACAGATCAATTCCTTTGCCCAGAGAGGACTTTAGGAGAAGGCAGCAGTAACCTTTTCAGAATAATTTGGAAATGCATTTATTACATTTATTATTATCATACAGTTTTGCATTTTGTCCCTAACACTGTACATATATTGTACATATGTACACCATACACATATTGAGAACATATGTTTTATTTTTCAATCTATCTTACCTCCACACTCTCCTTACCATGATGTTCTGTTGAAATTCAATAAAGATCTTCGTTCCTAGAATTCACATGAGAACACTTTTACTGACAATTCCAAGGCACACCTCTAGATGGGGCACGTGATGTATTTCTGCTGTCTAAGAAAAACAAGTCAGGAGTCAACCAAGCAACTCTAAAACTTCCATCTGAATTTTAAGCACTTCTCAAGTCTGGAAAGGTTCTACCTCATTGGAAAGAGATAAGTTAAAATCTCATGTAGACCTTAAGAAATCGTTTCTGTGGGCGAGAGAGAGAAGGAGTAAATTCCCACACCTCACATTAGCAAAGTACAATGACTATTTCAAGAAAGTAAGAAGATCAGATGCTGGGGGAGGGATGCGTATTTTAAAAATTGATTCTTCCTGCAACAGTTTATTCTGTGGAGTTTTAATTTAAACTTGTACCTCAGTGCTATCTGTTAGGCACTGTTTTTTAAAAAATTCACTCACCCTCTCACCTCCAGAATAGAGTGGAAAACTTACTTGCAATGCTTCATTAATCTTGGCTTTCCATTGTGTTCCTCTGAAATTATTGGGTAACTGGCTTTTAAAGTAAATGTCTGAATTTTTTTTTTTAGAGACACTAATAGATTAAGCTGTTCCGCTGTCGCCACTACCCAAAGGCCCAAGGTCAAAGTTCACATTCGTTTTTGTTAAAGTATAATCTGCTGCCCCTGGAGGAAGGTAGAATAATAAATCCAGGAGGAGTTCTTCTTACTCACACTTCAAAAAGTCACCATCACCTAGCATGGAATAGGACTCAAATAACATAATTATCTTTTATTTTGGAGAAAAGAAGATAGCAACACAAATTGAACGAAAGTATGCTTGTTACCTAAACAAGTAGAAGGCACACATGATGTAATCTGTGAGAGACACAGTGACCTATGGGTGGAGTGATACCTACCTGAGTAGTTCTGGTCAGTCAGGTTTCACAAGCTCAGATTGGCTGTGGATCTTTTTCCCCAGGAGCTGCTGTCTGTCCTTGCCTGACACAGAACCTTACGCACTGGTGAAGACGCTTGTCATATACTCATGATAATGCGGCTGGTTTAAATGTGTATTTTTTGCTGTGTGGAGTAGAAAGAAACATTGCTGCTCCCAAAGTTCCCACCACATGGTTGTCTTTTGTTGTGTTGTTTTGTTTTGTTTTGTTCCAGAAAATAGAGGAAGGGCTGCTAATTGTGTTTGAGATCCTTAGGTTATAGAAGTGTGGAACCTGCCAAGACTGTGGCCTGTTAGAAGCCTCTAGACATATTACACAGAAACTTCAAAGGGTCCAGGGGCTAAAGATACAGCCCAGTGGTAGAGCACATCTTGGCATATATGAAGCCCTAGGTTCAATCCCCAGAATTCCAAGGGAAAAGGGAAAAAAAAGAGATTTTAAAAGCTCAGACAACAAGGAAAGGGGTGGAATTTGAGAGGCGGCTGTTCTCTGTGTCCCCATATCTATAGTATTGCTTGTCGGCAATTTGATCTGAGCTTTTGGAGAAGTCAGGAACAGAAAGTGTGAAGTGTCTTCTCAAGTAATTGACAAGGATGATGATTCTTTCCCCTAGTCACCTTTGTGTGCGGCTGACAAACATCAGCAAGACAGGAAAATAAAGCAAATGTTGTATAGTTTCCAGAAAGTAACCTAATGGTGCCCTAGACATAACTTTATTCAACAGGACAATGGTCATCCTTCTTTTCTAGTTGATAGACAAAATAATACACTATTGTTGAAATCGTACTACACTAGTCACTTGACAAAGTCTGTCTCAATTTATCTCCATGGTAATCCTACTAAATGTTAATATTAACTTCCCTGTAAGAAAACAGACACCAACAAAGTATCCAATGTCCTACAGATAATGAGAAGTTGAACTAGAATTTAACCCAAGCAGTTTGACCCCAAAACCTATGGCTGCAAACACTACATCCCAAAGCAAAATCCTCCATTTATATGAATGAGTACTAGATGGAAGAGGTAAGAAAACAGCAGCGACAACAAAAAAGAAGTACCTGTTACAGAAACGAAGATGCAAGTGGCACAGAGTACAAGGTGACTAACTCTAAACATGGTGACTATGACACCTCTAACAAGGTGACTTATACCTCAACAAGAAGGTTCCAGAGGAGATTAAGAAAATGTTTGCGATGTTTGCTAGGTAAATAGGAAAGGGCATTCAGACAGAATACAGGTGCAAAGACTGGACAGCTCTAAATAACATGCTGCACCTGTGTAACTAGCAGCAGATTGAAAAAGCTAGAGCATTAGCCACTGTAAGACAGTGAGAAGTCTGAAGGTTGGAGGTCTTCTCCTGTGGATGCTTAGTGATTAAATTGCACCAGGCGGTGTGCGTCTGCTAGTGTTCTGGCATAATTAAGTTATCATAGCAAGGGTAAGAAGCTGCAAAACGTGTCTACTGGATTCCTCACCAGAGCAGTGAATTTTATAAGAACCAGTTAGAGCCATCTCCAAAGGACTCCTGCAGCCAGGGATACCAGGTCTAATGAGCAAGCTATGTGTAAAAGCCCGCACATTTCCCTCCAAGGTAGGAACGCAAAGGAAGTTGTTTTCTACATAATCTCCTACTCCTGCATTCCTCCTTCTGCCATCTAATTTCCAATAATATAGAACAGCCCCATATATTCTTCAATATTCTTAAGTGCAATTACAGGATTCAATCCAGTATTGGCTTCCCTGGTGCAAGCAAGTTGAGGATTTTTTGCACTGATTCAAATGAGGGAGCTGAGCTGAACTTTCTTCACTAACAGATCAATTTTATTTCACACTTAGCAATATATATATATAT